ATACAAAAAAAATTGGAGTAACCTCCTGTGTCTTATCAGATAACGATGGAGTAAAGTTAAAATTTAACAACAATACTACTCCCAGAAAGTCTACAAACTCATGGAAATTTAACAGTCAACTGCTGAACCACCCCTGGGTCAATGAAGAAATAAAGAAAGAAATTTAAAGTCTTCCTTGAATTCAATGAAAATGAAGGCACAACAAATGCAAACCTATGGGACACCATGAAAACAGTGCTAAGAGGAAAGTTCATAGCACTAAGTGCCCACATAAAGAAAATGGAGAAAGCTCACATTAGTGACTTAACAGCACACCTGAAAGCTCTAGGACAAAAAGAAGCAGGCTCACCCAAGAGGACCAGAAATAATAAAATTGAGGGCTAAAATCAACAAATAGAAACACAGAAAACAATCCAAAGAATCAATGAAACAAAGAACTGTGTCTTTGAGAAAATCAACAAGATTGACAAACCCTTATCCAAGCTAATCAAAAGGCTGAGAAGGAATATCCAAATTAACAAAATCAGAAATGAAAAGGGGGACATAACAAAAAACACTGAGGAAATTCAGAGAATCATTAGATCTTAAAACAAAACCCTGTACTCCACAAAATTGGAAAATGTAAAAGAAATGGACAATTTTTAGATAAATACCATATACCAAAATTAAATCAAGACAGGTGAGCAATTTAAATAGACCTATAAGCCACGGGGGAATAGAAGCTGTCATCAAAAACCTCCCAACCAAAAGAAGCCCAGGGCCGGATAGTTTTAGTGCAGAATTCTACCATAACTTCCAAGAAGAGCTAATACCAATACTTCTTAATATGTTTCACATAATAGAAACAAAAGGGTCTTTTTATGAGGCTATAGTTACCCTGATACCAAAACTGTACAAAGACCCAACCAAGAAAGAGAATTACAGGCTAATCTCATTCATGAACATGGATGCAAAAATTCTCAATAAAATACTGGCAAACTGAATCCAAGAACACATCAAAAAAATCATCCATCATGATCAAGTAGGCTTGATCCCAGAGATGCAGGGCTGGTTCAACATATGCAAATCTATCAATGTAATCCATCATATAAATAAACTGAAAGAAAAAACCATATGATTATTTCATTAGAAGCTGAAAAAACATTTGACAAAATTCAACACCCCTTCATGATAAAGGTATAGTAGAGATTAGGGATACCAGGATCATATCTAAATGTAATAAAAGCGATATACAACAAGCCAACAGCTAGCATCAGATTAAATGGAAAGAAACTCAAGGCCATTCCACTAAAATCAGGAACAAGATAAGGCTATCCACTCTCTCCATATCTCTTCAACATAGTTGTTGAAGTTCTAGCAATAGCTGGTAGACAAACATAAGGAGATCAAGGAGATTCAAATTGGAAAAGAAGAAGTCAAAGTTTTGTTATTTGCAGATGATATGATAGTGTACATAACTGACCCCAAAAACTCTACCAGAGAACTCCCACAGCTGATAAATACCTTCAGTGATGTGGAAGGATACAAGATCAACTAAAAAAAAATCAGTAGCCCTCCTATACACAAAGGATAAAGAAGCTGAGAGGGAAATCAGAGAAACATCACCTTTCACAATAGCCACAAATAACATAAAGTATCTTGGGGTAACACTAACCAAAGAAGTGAAAGACCTATTTCACAAGAACTATTTCACAAGTCTTTGAAGAAAGAAATTGAAGAAGATGCCAAAATAGAAAGATCTCCTATGCTCTTAGATAGGAGTCCTACCAAAGGCAATCTATAGATTCAATGCACTCCCCATCAAAATCCCAACACAATTCTTTACCTACCTTAAGAGAACAATAATCAACTTTATATGGAAAAACAAAAAACCTAGGATACCCAAAACAATCCTATACAATAAAGGAACTTCCGGAGGCATTACCATCCCTGACATCAAGCTCTATTACAGAGCTACAGTAATGAAAACAGCTTGGTATTGGCATAGAAACAGAGATGTTGACCAATGGAATCACATTGAAGACCCAGATATTAACCCACAAACCTATGAACACCTGATTTTTTGACAAAGAAGCTAAAATTATACATCTTCAACAAATGGTGTTGCATGACTGGATGTCAACCTGTAGAAGAATGAAAATAGATCCATATCTATCACCATGCACAAAACTTAAGTCCAAATGAATCAAAGACCTCAATATAAATCTGACCACACTGAACCTGATAGAGGAGAAAGTGGGAAGTAGCCTTCAATGCATGGATACAGGAGACCACTTCCTACGTATAATCCCAGTAGCACAGACATTAAGGACAACATTAAATAAATGGGATCTCCTGAACCTGAGTAGCTTCTGTAAAGCAAAGGACAGAGTCATTAAGACAAAAAGGCTTCCTACTGAATGGGAGATCTTCACCAATCCCACATCAGACAAAGGTCTGATCTCCAAAATATATAAAGAACTCAAGAAATTAGACATTAAAATTCTAAATAACTTAATTAAAAAATGGTGTACTGAACTAAACAGAGAATTCTCAACAGAAGAATTTCAAATGGTCCAAAGATACTTAAGGACATGTTCAATTTCCTTACCTATCAGGGAAATGCAAATCAAAACAACTCTGAGATACCATCTTATACCTGTCAGAATGGCTAAAACCAAAAACACTAATGATAGCTTATGCTGGAGAGGATGTGGAATAAGGGGTACACTCATCCATTGCTGGTAGGAATGCAAACTTGTACAACCACTTTGAAAATCAGTGTGGCAGTTTCTTAGAAAATTGGGAATCAACTTACCTCAGGATCTAGCAATACCAATCTTGGGAATATACCCAAAAGATGGTCAATCATACTACAAAAGCATTTGTTCAACTATGTTCATAGCAGCATTATTTGTAATAGCCAGAACCTGGAAACAACCTAGATGCCCCTCAATGGAAGAATGGATAAAGAAAGTGTGGCACATCCACACATTAGAGTACTACACCGTGGTAAAAAAGACAATGACATCTTGAATTTTACATGCAAATGAATAGAATTAGAAAACACTATCCTGAGTGAGATAACCTAGACCCAAAAATATGAATATGGTGTGTACTCACTCATTAGTGGATACTAGCCATAAACAAAGAATATTGAGCGTATAGTTCATGATCTTAGAGAAGTTAAGTAATAAGGTGAACCCAAAGAAAAAGATATATAGATACACCTGGAAATTGGAAGCAGACAAGATTGCCTGACAAAATTTGGGAGCGTGGGGGTGGAGTTAGAAGGAAGGCGAGAAGGAGAGGGTTGGGGAGAACTTGAGGGAATGGGATAGTTGAGAAAGAGGAAGGACAGTTATGAGAGCAAAGGAAGAGATATCTTGATAGAGGGAGCCATTTGGGGGTTAGCAAGAAACCTGGCTCTAGAAAATTTCCCAGGAATCCACAAGGATGACCCTAGCTAAGACCCTAAGCAATAGAGGAAAGGGTGCCTGAACTGGCATTGCCCTGTTGTCAGACTGATGATTATCTTAAATCTCACCAAAGAACCTTCATCTAACAACAGATGGAAACAGAGGCAGAGACCCCCATCAGAGCATTGGACTGAGCTTCCAAGGTCCAGTTGAAGAGTGGAAGGAGTGAGAATATGAGCAAGGAGGTTAGGACCATGAGGGGTTCACCCACTGAGACAATTTGACTGAGCTAATGGGAGCTCACCAACTCCAACTGGACTGGGAGTGAACGAGCATGGGATCAAACTAGTTCCTCTGAATGTGGTTGACAGTTGGGGCAGACTGAGGGGCCACTGACAGTGGCACTGGGATTTGTCTCTATTACATGTACTGTTTTGGGGGATCCTATTATCTTTGTATGCATACCTTGCTCAACCTAGATATAGTAGGGAGGGCCTTGGACATTCCACAGGGCAGGTTGCCTTGTCCTCTCTTATGATTGGAAGGGGTTGGGGGAGAGAGTGAGAAGGGAGTGGGAGGAGGGGAGAAAGTGGGAATTTGGATTGCTATTTTTTTAAGTAATAAAATAAAATAATATAAAAGAGAAAAGTTTCATCATATGGCTTTGGGGGACACTGGCCTTCAACCCCCCATCGTGGAATCCTTGCACGTGGGAGGTCGCTCTCACCTGGTGTTTATTTACCCCACCATCTTCCTACATTAGCCTGGACATGTGGGTATTTTATATTTTGAATATAAAGTCTAGTATCATTATTGCTAGGTGGTTCCAGCGTGGGTCACTATTTCTTCCACACACTTTTGCGTGTGGAATTTCTGCAGGTTTTCCATTTTCTTTGCTCACGCATGCATCCTTTCAGCAAACGCCAGTTTCTATGGCCATGAATTCCTTCACTTCCTTTCTCACCCCGAAGTGATGGAGCCCTCCTGACTTCCCTTCTGGTAACCCTTCCTCGGCACTCCTTTACTTCCTAATAGCGCCCCTCACCTTCTCTAGGGGACCATCCTTACAACCTGGCATTGGAATCTGGTGACCCACAAATCTTCCAGGATAAAAACTCATTGTGGCCTGGGAGTGAGGCCCCTGACTTATCTTGGGTGAGCATACCCAGGACTCTGGACACGCCTCTAGGGGACTTTGACCTTTCTCTGGGAAAAAGAAAAGAGGAAGGGGACTCTTACTTCACATAGTTATTTTACTTTTTTGTAGTGATAATGACACTACAAAAGGAGTGTGATTGGTAGATGGTGTAGAGGGACGGAGATGGGGATAGAATGAGCAAAAGGAAGGCAAGGACTGGGGGCAGGGCTGAGGCATGAGGGCTAGAGACGGACCCTATAGCTGAGGTTCCCCAGTCCAAGCCTGGCTGCTGTTCTTCTCATGGGCCCCCAGGGCCCGCCTACCCAGGCCAACCACTTCCCCCATCAGAGCCCTGGTCCTTCCTTGGGTCTTTACAGCTCACAGATTCTGAGAAGCTTGGAGACTCCTGCCCAGTCCAAAGCCTCCCTTCTCCTCCTCTCCTCCACTGACAGAATCAGCGGGGCATGGCTTGGAGGGGTGCACAACTGCTATTGGCCCCTGTGCTGCTGCTGCACCTGGCCTCAGGTGAGATGGTTCAGGGCTCAAGGTGTTGGGGAGTGGGTCTAGAGGACAAGGGTCAGGCAGGAATCCGGCTGACCCTGTGACTGGGCATGACTTCAGAGCTACGTTCTGAGTTGGTGCGAGAAGTCACCCATCTCAGCTCTCCTAGACTTGTAAGCAAAGTATCCAGCGGGGGCTCTGACCTGACGGTTTGTTGTCCAGGTGTCTGGGGCTCGACAGTTGTTTCTGAGGAACTTCACAAAACGGTAGGACAGAACCTCTATGTGAAGTGCCAGTACAAGCCTGAGGCGGGGCCTTACGTGCCGAAATCGTGGTGTCGTCAGATATCTTCAGGTAGATGTAACAGAGTGGTCACAACCTCCCAGACTCGGAGGGCCGAAACAGAATCACAGCATACAATCTGGGACTATCCTGAAGACGGCCACTTCATCATCACCATCACTCGGCTCACGGAGAAGAACTCAGCAATCTACTGGTGCGGACTATTTAATGTTTCCCACAATACAATCAGAGTTCTCCGAAACATCAGCCTGGTGGTGTCTCCAGGTGAGGGTGAGAGCCTTCTCCTAGGGACCAAGTGAAAACCCGTATCACTTCTCCCTTGTCTCTGTCAGCTCCAACCCTGCCCCCTGCTCTGACTGAGGGGCTCAGGATGCCCTGGCCCCTAGGACAGCTTCCTGGCTCTGGTACTGAGAAGGGATGTCTGGGTTTCATAGAACAGGAACCTGCAGTCTCTCCTGACTCTTTTTTATTTTAGCCTGGATTGATTCAACTTTAATCCCAACATTTGAGAGGCAGAGGAAAGTGAGTCTCTGTGAGTTAAAGGCCAGCCTGGTGTACAGAGTAAGTTCCCGGCCAACCAGAGACTCTGTCTCAAAAAAAAAAAAAGTTGGAATGTTTTTATTTTAAATTATATGCACTCACAGGCACAAGCCACATTTGTTCCAGTGCCCATGAGGCCAGAGTGTAGGATCGCCTTGAGGCTAGACTCACGAGTGACTGTGAACACCCAGTGTGGGTACTGGGAACCAAGCTCAGGTCTCTGCAGGAACAATCTGTGTTGTCAATGGCTAAGCCGTCTCTCCAGCCCTTGATTCTCTTTCTCACACAGGCAACCCGTGCAGACCCTAAGGTGCAGATCACTGCTGGCCCAGGGGACCCCCAAGGACCTGCCCTGAGCTCCCCTATATCCTGTCACTCTCTGGGGTCGGACTGGATTCACCCTTCAGAACCCCACACAGTCATCTCTTTTTCTTTTACAGCCGTGCCCACTCTTCCTCCACGGACCAGCGCTGGGCTCCAAACAAGGATAGGTAGGTTTATGAGGAGGAAAGATAGATGGCCAGGAACACGGGGAGGCTGAGACTCAGTGGGGGCTTCCCCTTGGGTGGATCCCCTAGGGACTGGCAATGAGGAAGCTCCATTCAGGGCTTCGGATACAGAGAGATGAAGTGTGCTGCCTGGTCCAGCACCGCCCACTTCCCACTGGGAGGCCAGATTCGATGGATGCATAAAGATCCCAGGTCCAATCTGAGCGGGCTTAAAAACCAAACCAAGCCACAACGTACAACATCACTAAACTACTAGGGGCATGTGAATAAAAACCGCAGTGAGATCATCTCCCTCTAGTAAGAGGTAACAGGCACAGGGAGGCGTGGAGAAAGGGAACCCTGTGGTTAGTGGGAATGTATATTAGTACAATCATGAAGACAGCCTGGAAGTATTGTGTCCTGCCAGCCTCTGGTCCCAGATCTTGGGTGGTGGAGGTGGGTGGATCTCAAGTTCACTATCTTGAGCTATGCGGTAAGTTCAAGGTCAGCCTGGGCTACAGGGAAATTTGACGTTAAAAAAAATTCTACCTGTGCGTGGTGGCATGCCCTTTAATCCCAAGCACTCAAGAGGCAGAGGCAGGTGGATCTCAGTGAGTTTGAGGCCAGCCTGTCCTATACAGGGAATTCCAGGCAAGTCAGAGCTACATAGTGAGAGAGACCTTGTCTCAAAAACTATCAAACAACATCAACAAAACGCTGATTTAAATAGACATTGGAAATTGATGGGTGGACACCAGAGGCTGAAAGAAGAGCCATGAATGAGTGATAGGAGGCTGGGCTAAAGAGTATTGATTCGGAGTGGGGGGACTGAGGTTAGTGGAGGCCAACATTTAGCATTGATGCCCTTATATACGTAAAAAATTTTAAGTATAAGCTGAAGATTTTAAATGCGGTATCCCTGGCCTGAGAGGCTTTGAGATGGGGTTCCATCTAAAACCCTTCTCTACTTCCTCTCATGGTTCTTGGGACTCAGTCTTAATCTCGGTCCTGGTCATCTGAGCAACCACCATCTTTGTGTCCATCTTAGTTCTGATGACTTCTCCGGAGGAAACCACTGGCTCTTTCACCCATGGCTCTCAGCACAGGTGAGTCAGGTGTCTTCACAGGGAGGGTCCTGGAAGGATGCCTAGAGAGCTCATGCGGTCCAGGAACCAGGGACCGCAGGATCATTCTAATGATGGCTGAACATCAAGATCTGCAGAGGACCCCCTGGTCCAGACACGGAGGTGGAGAAAGAAGGACAGGGGTTGGGACGCAGGTCCCAAGCATTGGAGGAGCCATAGAAAAGACAGAGATCCAAATGAACTGGAATCCCTGTAAGGAAGGATGGAAAGGCAGATAAAGCTGAAGAAAGAATAGATATATACATTTTACAGAATTGTAGGAAAAGGAAAGGTCTCGGGTTACAGACTCATACAAGGCTATGGAGATGGCTCCATGATTAAAGAAAGTATCTGCTGTGTGAGCATAAGTACCCCGGTTTGGGTCCCGGGCATCCACATAAAAACCAATATAAATAAATAAATGAAAGGCAGATAACTATCTGGGCAAAAAGGAGATTTTTTTTTGCTTGTTTTTTATTTTTTATTTTTTCCAGAAAACTTTAAATTCACACATCATGGGGGAATTAAACAGAGTGCATTAAGGAGGGCAGATCCTTTTTTTTTTTTTAAGATTTTATTTATTTATTATGTATACAGTGCCTGCCTACGCACCAGAAGAGGGCACCAGATCTCGTTATAGATGGTTGTGAGCCACTATGGGGTTTCTGGGAATTGAATTCAGGGCCTATGGAAGAGTAACCAGTGCTCTTAACCGCTGAGCCTTCTCTCCAGCTGCTCGGAGGGGATCTATCTACTCAACAGACAACTCTGTGGGAATCGTTCGCAAGCAGACAGCAGACTGAGAAAAATTAGCTTTAAGAAGCTGAAAATAAACACAGCCGTGCAATTTAGGGTACACAAAGAAAAGATGGCAACCCCAGCGGGAAATGGCAGGCAACAAGAAAGATAATTAGTGGGAGAGAAAAATCTGAAAGGTATACATATATCCATGTTCACACCCGCCAATGAGTTAAAATTATCAAGGGTCATATCACACCTCGACAATGACCAAAGCAGCAGGGCACCCAGAAGTACTTCCAGCCGGGACTAGGACAGGATCCTGAACCCTGAGCACAGTAGGTGGTGGCACAGACCCCTCCCACCTGTGAGAAGTCGGAGCCTCCTGGGTTTCAGAACCTCCTAAAGATCAGCCAAAGTTTCACAACCCCAAAGATGAGCTCCAGAGACTGCCCAGTTCTGGACCAGGGTCACTAAGGAGTAGACAAGGTGACAACCCAGGTCCCCTTCATAAGTGGCTCTCTGTGCCCTCCTCTCCAGCCTGCTGAGTGCTGGTCACCTCCTCTCAGCAGACCTGTCTGTCTCTGTGACTGCTGCCGCCCCTGCTTCTGGGCCAGCTTGATGGTTTTCCAGTTGAGCCAGTGAAGAGGTTCCTTCCCCCAGCTGTTCAGATCCTCAGCCTGTTACCCTTCCAATTGTGTTTCTTTTTTAAAAAAATATTTTTTATTATGTATACATATTCTGCATGCATGTATGCTTTCAGGCCATAAGAGGACACCAGATCTCATTTTTAGATGGTTGTAGGCCACCATGTGGTTGCTGGGAATTGAACTCTGGCCCTCTGGAAGAGCAGCCAGTGTTCTTAACCTCTGAACCATCACTCCAGCCCCTCAACTGGGTTTCTTATAAGTGGGTTTCTTCTCAGGCTCAGAGACCCCATGGCTCTCTTTCCCACTCAAGTCCACTGTCTTTATGCACATAAACTCCAACTGGGGACAATCAGAAGCAGATGGTGTCTCAACACAGGCTCCTCTTTCTGCTCCCTGCCTACAGAAACCAGAGTTCTCCTTCCTCTGCTGGTGGGGTCTTCCCAAGGCTTCTGGTCTTGGTGCTGTGTGGACTCCTCCTGCTCAAGGGCCTGATGCTGTCAGTTCTCTGCGTGGTCCTTTACTGGAGGAGCTGCCAGGTGAGTGGCTGACTTGAGGTGAGGGTGCTCTGTAGGATCCAGTGAGGATCACTGTAGGTTCAGTTTCCAGTGAGTGTGTATTAAGTGCACAGCAAGCCAAAGTAAAAGGTGAAATACAAGTTAGTAGTAGGGAGGGCAAACCATCTCCAATGCTGGCACTTAGAACATCCTCCAAACTGAGGGAGCCCACGAAGGCAGCAGCTGGAATTTCCAAGAGTCCCCAGAAGAGCAGTGTCTGAAGGAACCCTCAGGTGAGGCTTCCAAAAACAAACAAATAGAAGACCGATACCATCAAATGTGGGGCTCATAACACCCCACAAAATCCAGCCGGGGAAGTTGAGGCAGCCAGCTTTCTCTCCCCCATCACCTTCCCATGGCTTCTCTGCCCCATGCACTTCCTTCTAACAATGGTAACTTCTGCAAATGTTATTTTTGGCTGTCCCCAGGAGCAGGACGTGTTCACTCCTGGCTTGCTTTAGCTAATCCCTTCCCTCCCGGCTACAAGGTTAACAGGGCCAGGCCACTGGTACCCAAACAAGAAGCCTTGGAAGACACTTTGAAACAAACTTGCTTCATTCTGAATCGGGCAGGATAGAATCTCATATCCATAGGCAGCTCCTCGTTGAGCTCAAACACCACACATATACATGCACATGTACCCTCCACACAATACACATGCACCACACACATGCACACACGCTCCACACACACGCATATATACATGCGTGCACAAATGCACACCCATATATACATACATACATACATACATACATACATACATACATACATACATACATAACCAGTGTGGTGTATGTCACGCGCTGTAGAGCTGGGGCCACAACTGTCCCAGGATGTATACCTGAGCAGATGGATGGAATGTTAGTTCTTGCACTCTCTGCCTATCCCTCAGACAATATCCTCCCAGGAAGAGAGTGGCCCGCTGCCCTGGTGGGAAGGCTAGGGAGGGAGGAGGAAAGGAGAAGCTGCCAGATAGCAGTCCTGGGCCAGAAGGCAGAATAGAAGGGCTTTGCTTTGTAAATTTCCCCTCCCCTTTCTTCCTCAGGGGCGTGAGTATGCGGCAGAGACAGTGACAATGGAGGTTATGAAATATGCCAGCCTTCCTGACGTCTCGAAGTCCTTGGGCACAAGTAGCCACATCTCAGGGTATGAGAAGAATGCTTATTCTCTTAACCCTGCCCAGTGGCCAGGGCTGCCCAACCACTGCATACCACAGCCCTACTGAAGCCATCAGGCAAGCACAGGGAGACAACCGCAGGTTCCACCTAAAATCACCAACGAAGACTGTCACTTTGGTATCCAGCACCTGAAGATTCACACACACCCAGCACAATCTCCCCCAAGATGACCCCAGTTAATCTGCACTGGGTGTCAGACCCTCAGTATCCCAACACCCTGATCCCCAGTGTCTCCCCAGAATCCTACAATGGTGCTTTCTCTCCCAGAACTCTCTCGGTCCCTCTCCTTGGCATCACATGTCCCATGGGCTCTGTTTCCGGAGTGAGTTGCTCACCAGCCCTGTGTGTGTCCACTTGTGCTTATGTTCGGACTATTAGATCGCGTCTGAGCAGAACACGGTAATGCCATTTCCCCTGGACTGCCTCTCCTCTTGCTCTAGATTCCTTTAAAATTAGAGAAAAAGGACTTAAATAATACAATGGGGGAATCAAGAAAGGCTGTGATCTGCAGACTACAAACAGAGGAAGCCAAGAAGTTAAAGGAAAAAAAAATGGTTTTTAACAGGACAAAAACTCCCCAGAGGGCTCATCCAGCGAACATAGGCGCTGACCACCAGGGCGCAGTGTGTGTTGGTTTATCGAGTGAGGCAATTTCATCTTCACATAGAAAGTCTGGTTGTACAAACTCGTGGGAGGTGTGGGTAGATAGGGGAACCCTTTAGGGAACAAAAACAATGTCACATCCATAAACCAAGAAGAAGCCAGAGTGATGTTCGGCACAGGTGACGTCCAGTACAGCCTGGACACCGGACATTGAGCACGGACATCCACTGTTGGCAGCAAACACGACAGGGCCACCACGAAGACTGCACATTTTATTCTCTCTTTCTCTCTCTCTTTGATGTGTGGTAAAATAAAATACAGAAATTTCTTCACAGATATTTCAGCTGATACCACACGGCTGCCATCTATCTGGGCACAGACTTTCACTGCGTTTATCCTTCTCAGCCTCGTTCTTTATTTCCACTCCATGTCTTCAGACTGAGGCCATTACTCTCATGTGTTTGATGTGTAATCCTGAACTTGTCTGAAATCTTACAAAAAGAGGCATTTTTGTGTGATTGTATTTCTTTTTGAGTGTGTGTGTGTGTGTAGGTGCACAATGTGTACACATGCACACATGAGTACTTTGCTTATAGAGATCAGAAAAGGGGCATCAGATCCCTGGCAGCTGGAGTCACAGGCATTTGTGAGATGCTGGGAGTGGGTACTGGGAACTGGACTGCAGTCCTCTGTAAGAACAGTGTGTTCTCTTGACCACTGAGCCGTCTCTCCAGGCTCTGTGTCTCCATTTTTAACTTCTATAAAATAGCATGATTCACTTTCCCGCACATGGTTCTCCTGCCCAGACACCAGGTCACCACTTCCCAGTGCTGACACATACTCCATTGCGAGCATGCTCCCCACCAGGGGAGAGCCCTGGAGCCCAGGGTGCATTGCTGCTTTGCTCGATCATCTTTACACGGCAATCACCCCAGCAAACTCTCCTTCAGGATTTATCCCCAGAGGAGTTCGTAGGATTTCAGAATCTAAGCTGCTGGATGCCCCATCTTTGTTTCCTGAACCACTACTGGACAACTAGAGATTATACTTCCTGTTCATCTACAGGAAGCAGGCAGCACCGTTTGTGGAGTGGTCTTCAGGAAGAAAATGAAGGGATGTTGGGAGCAGGAAGGTCCTCATGCCCACAGGTCACCAGGGATAACAGGAATGGTAAGCATGCAGGATTGTTTTTCCAGAGAAGGATGTATAACCTGCTTTTCCATCCAGAAGGCCCAGAATTGGATGTGATTGACAGCCTGGTGATCTGCGTTATCTGTAGGGACAGGCTGTCTCAAACTCCCACAGCTAGGACCGCAGGTGGCTAATAGCCCAAATGCCCTCTATGTTATCAGTACGTCTGATGACTCTCCAGATCCTCCCCTAGGTGCTCAAGCCAGCGCAGTAGCTGATCCTAGAACTCATGTTCTTGAAAAAATGACATGTACCCTGAGTCGGCTCTCGATGGAATCATGCCTCCTTCTGCACAGGGGATTGTATAATACCAGGAATTTTTTTTCCAGGTTGTACCGGGTTTAAATATGCTGACAGTGGTATCAACCCCCCAAAATTTGATCACGTCCAGCTAAATCAGGTTGAACCAAGTTTTCTTTCTTTCTTGTTCACGGGCCACTTTACTGCCAACCGAGACACGTGCAGGGTCCCCAACAGTAGGAGGGACCTCAGGGGGTTTCTGCTAAGTGGTCGTGTTGTCAAACTGCCTTCATGTGTATGTGTATAGATTTGTGCTGCTCTTAACCATGGTCAGGGGCAACTTTTTGCTGTGGACAGTAGTTAAAGCTGAGATTCACAACTGGTCAAAGGGCTGAGAACAAGAGAGGAGGTGACTGCTGAGTCCTAATGGAAAATCTCGATTACTCCTTTACCCTAAGCCTCAGAAAACATGATGGGAGAGGGAGCAGCAAAAAGGTAAGAGCTTGGGGCTGGGCACGACTGCTGTGGATGCTGCCATCAGGACAGGACAAGGCAGTTGCACAGAGCCAATGGCAGCAATGCTTACCTTCACAATATCCAACTCGTCAAAGTTCTGGCATGGGGAGGGGCTCACAAGGCTCCGCCCCTTACTGTGAAGCCATTTTCAGTTGCTGGCTGCTTGGGGAGAGAGAATCAGCTATGCACACAGGGGCCAGACTAATTGGACTCAGTGGATCACAATAAAAAATAGAAGAGGATACTTGTCAGGGTGGCCATGCGAAGAGACCCACAGGGAGCATTGGATCTCATGGAAAATGGCTGGGCCATTGGCAAAGCCAACCTCAGTGAGCATTGGAGGGCAAAGCCCCCAGAAGACTGCATGCCCTGAGAACTTCATGTTGTTACTGAGCATAGCTCTGCTGCCTTCGTGGTCACTGCATCTCTCTCATTCTATGGGCTGTACGAAAACTCCCAAGGTTTCCAGCCCCTCAGTGGCCACTGTTACTGGTACTTATAATAATAGTGATTGCCTTTTTCTAAGCATTGCTGCTGGGGCAGATTCAACCACCAGGTCCCTTACAAAGAATTTAGACAAGTAGAATTGTTAGTAAGGTTATTAAGAAGTTTTTGTTAATGGCTTTGAGGTAGAAAGTCTTCGGGAACAATATCACATTTATAAAGGCATACTTTTTTTATTTATTTATTAAAGATTTCTGTCTCTTCCCCACCGCAGCCTCCCATTTCCCTCCCCCTCCCTCGTCAGCCCAAAGAGCAATCAGGGTTCCCTGCCCTGTGGGAAGTCCAAGGACAAAGGCATACTTTTTAATAGTTGAGCGAGGGACTCTTTGGGGTTAGGGAACAGCAACAACGGCTGCCTGGCTAGTACACACTGACATACTTCTCTTGCTAGACCGGGTTGGTAAACAAAGGCCATGATTAATTCATTGGACCTATTTCTGTCCTTGCTTCCTGTTATGATTTAGTGAAAAACTGCTGAGGAGTTAGTATGCACTATGCAGACTTGAATAGAAGTGACTGCTTTTTTTCATATGCAATAGTTTAGGTTTGTGATTCTTTTAAGATTTTTTATTAGATTACCTTTTGAGATAAATAATAAAACAATTGATCCTTTCTTTGTAATTGCAAGATGCAGCCTGTCAGTAAAAGAACTGACTGAGAAAAATATCTTGTTTGCTTACATTCTGTTAATCTATAACAAGTTTCTTGGACTTGAATTATGTGGTTCTTGGGAATAATTTGTTTTTCACCCATAATATGTACAATGTAAATCATGTAAGGTATATGGAAAACATGCTGGTTTGTTTTTTTTTTTTTTTTTTGCTTTTGCTTGTATTCATTGTAATCATTCACTGAAAAGATAGAATGTAACTACATTGAAATTTTTATATTGCTTGAAAGATTCTGCTGGGGTATATAAGCTGTAAGGGAAAAATAAAGTGAGTTAGAAGGAAGACACCAGGAAAAAGAAGGGAAGCTTCAGGGTAGAACAGAGCAGGTAAAAGACAGGTAGAACCAGCAACAGAAAGAATAGTAGGGAAAAGGAGCCTTTATCCCTCAGAAAAAAGTCTGTGTGCTTTCTTGCCGACTCTGCATCTGGTTCCCAGTCTGTCTGATCTGCAAAAGGCTGGGCCCTCTGCAGACATGAAACTAAAAGGGGTGTGTGTGAGAGGAAGGCTTGAGGGTGTTTGGAGGAGGGAGTGAATCTGATTAAAATACATTCTATACATGTATATGTGAAATTATTAAAGAATAAATAAGAATTAATAAAAGAGAAGTGGGAATGAGATCAAATACAACTAAGTGATGCAGAAGGCACGAGATATATGATTCTCTCTATTCCTGTGCATTCTTGGGAAAGTTCGTGAGCAGATAGCATGTGAGTCTAAACACAAGTGTGTTGATGTCAGCACAGTTGGGTGTGAATTGTATATGGCTGAATACAAACCATTCTTGATTAGTTAAAACAGTTACTAGAAATTTTGCTATCTGGGAAATCAAGGTCACTTCTTGAGGTCAATAGTTTCACTAATAAAAGATTTTAAGAGAGCTGGAGAGTTGGCTCAGTGGTTAAAAGTGCTTGCTTCTCCCAGAGGACCTGGGTTCAGTTCCAGGCACCCACGTTGGGTAGATCACAAGTAACTCCAGCACAAGTAACTAATCCAGAATTAGATACTCTCTTCTGGATTCGGCAGACCCTGGAACACACACACACACACAGCGCTCATTAGTTTTGTCAACCTGACACAAACTAGTCACACTGGAAGAGGTAGTCTCAGCCGAGGATTGCCTCCATCAGATTAGCTTGTGGCATTTTTGTAACATCGATGGCTGATGTGGAAAGGTCCAGCCCACTCTAAAGAGCGCCAGCCCTGGGAAGATGGTCCTGAGCTATACAAGAGCACAAACTGAGCAGGGCATAGGGTGCAACCCAGTAACCAGCACTTGTAAGCACTGGGATGTGCATGGAAAGGGATCCTGGCAGCTGGGGGCCAGGGAATACTGAGTGTTACAGCTCCTTTGGAGGAGTATTTTGGCAATCGGAGGCCAGGGAACACTGTTACAGCTCAGATGAAAAAATATCCTGGCAGTCAGAAGCCAGGGAATAACACAGGTCACAGAAAGCATAGCAGCTTACAGCCCTGATCTTGAGAAAGGTTTCCCCAAGGTAACAGCTCTGCTCCCTTAAGAGAGGGTTTCTCCAGTGAAGTTGTTACACTCAGGAGCCCCAGAGTGTAACAAATGCTCTGCTAGGGGAAGGCTTCCCCAGCGAAAGTGGTACAGCCCTTTGCTCCCCTCTGTCTCCGCTCCTGCTCCTACTGGAGTGGCAAAACGTCTTCACCCAAACCTCTTTCAAGAGATTTATTAGGAGGGAAGAGAGCAGGAGAGTGGCTGTCTCTTCCAGGGTGGAAGAAGGGCCGCTACAAACGGAACAGCTCGGGCTTATATAGGGCTTTTTAGGGGTGGAGTTTTCCCAGGGAGAAGAGGGATTGGCTAGTTTTCCCTGCTCAGGGATTGGTTAGTTTAGTTGGTCAGGGACAGAGATGGCTGATGCCAGGGCCAAACTATGTTTCTTTCGCTGGTCGTTTTTTTAGCTTTTTGGCTCTAGTTTTGAGGCCATGGCATGTTTCTTTCACTGGCACTAATTATAGG